TTTCTGTCGAGTGAGGAGGCAGGAAAGAAAGGGGTTGAGGAGTGAGAGGAGAAATGTGGAGGAAGTGAGTACAGACATGTTTTTCAAGTAGTGTAGCTGAGAAAGATATAAAATAACAGCTGTGGGAGATGGCAGGGTCAATGTAAGGAAGGAGGAGACTTGAGAACGTTTAAGGGAGTAGGGAAGGAATCAGTAGAAAGGGAGAAGTTAAAGATTAGGGAAATGGGAAAGATGACTGAAAATACAATCTTCTAGAGATGAGAGAACAGTAAGGGATCAAGTGCACATACAAAGGAAAAGTAGCACCTCTTTTTCAAAGACTAGGAAAAAGGGGGAGAATAGGAAATTGTGTAAAGGAGTTTTGAGAAGAAGAGAATGGAAGAGATATCTACCATCCTTAATCATCTTATACAGTGTCTTATGCCCAGTGAGTATTCAATAAACAATAAATGGTGATTCTGACAAATGATGAAAGAGATGCTTATGTAAACTACTAAAAAAAGATAGGTAGATAGATAGATAGATAGATAGATAGATATAAAGACTTTTAAAGACCGTATTACCTGGTAGGAAACTGGAGTTTCAGAAGATTTGTTTTGCATTCCTGGATACGTCACTCACAACCTGTAAATGTGAGCAGGCCACTTAGCTTTCTGGTGTCTATGTTTTTATATCTGCTTAATGGGAATTCTAATGATGACCTTAAAATATGGAAGAATTATGATCAATGAGTAGTAAAGGCCTACAGAAATGTTTAAAAATGTCACTATTATAACCTAAGTTTCTTTCCATCCAATGGTCTGTTACATCTTTATCAATGAAGACAACAATTAAAAGCACTCTGGTTTTTCCACATTTCTTGGGGAGGAATCACAGAATCACTGACTTTCTGAAATGGTAGCTTAGAGGCTGTTTAGTTCAATCTGTACTTGAAGAAAAAAATCCTGTCTTTACTTGAAGCTCTCTTTGCAGAGAATCCACTACTATCTGAATACAAGAATTGTGTCTTCCCTGAGTCTCCTCACCAGGATAAGCATTCCCAATTCTTTCAAACAATGCTTACATGGCATAAACTCAAGGGCTTTCACTATTCTGGCTGTCTTCCTCTGGGCATTCTCTAGTGTATCAATGTCCCTCTTAAATTGTGGTGCCCAGAACTGAACATAATACCTCAGACATGATCAGACTAAAGCAAATATGATCTCCTGGGAGCTATTCTTCTTTTATTGCTGCTCAAAATCACAACAGCTTTTTTGGCTGCCATATCACATTTTATGCTCATGGTCACAGGATTAATAAGTAGCAAAGCAGGAATTCGAATTCAGGTCCCATGACACCAAACCAGCATACTTCTCACTATCCCACACTCAGTCCACTAAAACACAAAACAACAACTGAGAAAAAGAAAACTTATTAGTTACCCATTCCTCATCTAATAGTTGTGAAATGGATTTTATGAACTCATATATAAGTCTTTGCCAGCACTGTTTTTAGATCTACCATGGTGGCTTGTAGGATAAGGAATGACAACTATATCATCTGATTGGCAAGATGGCTCAGTAGTGGTTTTCCACATACAGTTCCAACCTTGCAAGCTCAAAAGAAAGAAAATTTTTACCAGATGCAGAATAATTAAGGCTGAACCCCCAAAATGAAGAGACAGAAACACCACAGAAGGTAAAGCCTCATGAAATAATAATGGAAAGCTGAAATATTTAGTGATCCCACTCAGCCCTCACCACATAATAAGTACAACCAGCAAAAGCAACAACAGTTCTGGCTATGGTAGGTTCCTGCCTTGTCCCTCCATGATAGCCTGGGCTAAATGTGGATGAATTCTCCCCAACCCCCACCACCATCCCCCCACAAGACCCAGCCATTTGAAAAAAAGGAAGGGCAACTTGGAAGGGTGGTGGTGGTGGTGGTGGTGGTAGATGCAGTTAGCACCAAAAGGTGCCTACCAGAGGTGAAGCCCTAGGGTCATCTGTGCCTGAAGGAGAGGTGACAAGAAACCCAGCTAGAGTCAGTCCTCTCCCACTGAGGTTACTATGGATGGGGTAGCAGCTAGGCTCCCATGCCACCCAACCAAGGAGTCTGAGGACTCCATACCTCTGAGGTCTGTGAAAGAGGGAGAGATAAGAAAGACAAAAAGTGAAGAAGGAGAAGGAAGAGAGAGAAAAACTACTGGGCAATTCTTGTAGCCTTCCCTGACTGATTGACCCTCTGCTGTGCTCCCCACAACAGGTGTCCCAAACTTTTCTTTACTGCAGCCACCTTTACCACCCCTTGTCCATTGTCTCAGTAGAGGACTTTGCCTCACACTTGACTTAGAATAAATACTGAGACCATCTATCCATGCTCCCTACTCTCCTCAACTGAATTCCCCCTTCTTTTTCTTTACTTCATTCTCTGTCAAAAGGAAGCTCGTCTTGCCAGAGGTGACCCTCTACTTGTGCTCTTGATCATGTCCTTCTCATATACACCAGGATCTTGTCCTTTGAATTATACATCCTTTCACTCTGATCTTCAATCTCTCTATCCACTGGCTCTTTTCTTGTTACCTATAACCATGCCAAGAATTTTCCCTGTCCTTAAAAAATTTTCACTTGGTCAAACCTTTCTTTAAATCACCCTGCTGTATCTGTCCTCCTTTTCATAGACAAACTCCTAAAAAAAGACGTCAGCACTCACTGCCTCCACACTCTTTTTTATTTCTCATTCCTTGTAATCTTAAGTTTCTACTACACCCAAAAACTGAGACTGTGTTAAGACTACTAATAATCTCTTATTTGCTAAATGAGGACTTTCCTAAGTCCTCCTCCTTTGTGACCCCTCTAGCTTTTAACACAACTGACCATTCCCTCCTTTCTTAATACTCTCTCCTCCTCGAGCTCTGATGACACTATTCTCTCCTGACTCTCTTCTTACCTGTCCAACAATTCCCTTTTACTCTTCTGTTCTGGCTCAGCATCTATGTTCAACGAGCACATCTATGAAGATGAACTCCAATCTGTGTTTAGACTTTCTCTCCTTGCTGAGCTCTAGATCACATCTTCAACATCTCCACGTGGATATACCCATAGCCAAAAACTAAACACATTACCCTTTTCCATAAACTCACCCCTCTTCCAAACTTCCTTGTTTCTTTCCAGAATACCACCAGCCTTGCAGTGACCCAGATTCAAAACCCCAGAATCACCCTCAACATTTCTCTTACCCTTGTCTTCACATCCAATCAGCTACCAAGACTTGTTGATTCTACGGCCTTAACACCTTTTCCACATATGTCCTCTTCTCTCCACTCACATTTGCAGAGATAATTGTAATAGACTCCTAATTAGTCTCTTCATCTCCATTTTCTAGATAGTATAGTAGATAGGCCTTTGGAATCAGGAAGATGTCAGTTCAAATTTGACCTCAGACACTTAACTAGCTATGTGACCCTGGGCAAGTCATTTAACCTCTGTCTGCCTTCATTTCCTCAACTATAAAATGGAGGTAACACCTACTTCCCAGAGTTGTCATCTAGATAAAATTAGATTTTGTAAAGCATTTTGAAAACCTTAAAGCACTATATGATATCAGCTGCTATTATTATTGTTGTTGTTGTTATTGTCATTACCATTATCACCAATTCATCCTCCATATAGGTACCAAATAGATACCCCTAAACTACAGATCTGGTAAACTACAAACACCTCTGTTTCGTATTTAAAGTTCTTCACCATCTGGCTGCAACCTATCTTTCTAGACTGATTTTGAATATTCCTCCCTTCACGCACTTTATATTCTAGTCCAACTGGCTTCCTTGCTAATCCTTGTATAGAATGTTCCATCGCCTATCTCCACACCATTGCGCAGTCCAGTTTTCAAGCCTAGAATGCTTTTCTTCCTTTTCTCCTCACCCTCTTAGAACCCCTAGGTCCCTTTAAGGTTTAGGCTCAAATATCATTTTCTTCACAATGTGGTTCTGGATCCCCTCTTAACTGCTGAGTCTCTCCTCCCCCTACCCCATCCCTACCAATAGTACTTTGTATTCACTTACTATATTCAATCTTTTGCATATATGCTGTTTCATGACAATAAACGGTAGCCTCCTGGAGGGCAAGGTCTAATTTGTTTTTGTCTTTGTCTCCCCAATGCCTAATATGGTACCTGGAATTCTTTAAACCAACCTTGTGATTCTGCTGGTCTGGAGGACACCCAGTTAAAAAACTCCCTCTGTTAATACACATCAGTGCATACTCTGCAAGTTACAATCCTAGAGATGAGCAGCCTCGGGCACTGAGTGGGTACATGACTCCCCCAGTGTGGGTCACACAACGTGTGTCAAAGGCCAATGCTGGACTTTTAGATAGGGCGGCTCTACAGCCACTAAGCTGTGCTGCATCAGCCCTTCTAAGACTTAAATTGAACTGCAGATCATCTACAAAGTCACAGAGGAGTAGTGATCTGCACTGGTGAAAGGATTATCCTGACGGAAGAAAATCACCAATCACTGAAGTATTGAAGTGTTTAAAATTATTATTATTTTTCTCATTTTATAAATGGAGAAAGATGAAGTACCCAAGTTCAATGAAAACTCCAGACAGGTTCTTTTCCCTTTACTGCCAGTGAGAACAGAAAGCTTTTGAAAGTTTTTCATATTCTCGTCAGATAGTTGGAGAACATGGCTTCTCCCAAACAGGAGAGACAAATTTTGTCTTTCAAAATATGTTCCTTCTTCCCAGAGCCATTATGAACTCTCTGGTATTTTCCACAAAAAGCTTCTGGACAGCTAGTCAGACACCTGCCACTATTCACTACACTCAAAAGGGGAGCAGCTCCTAAAAGAAAATGCTAACAACTCATTTATCCAGGCATCTACTTACTACAAATAGATTTCTTTTAATATTTAGAAATATATACAAAATAGGAAATAAACAACATGTTGTTACCTCATTCCACTTTCCCATATTTTAAGCACCTGTTAATGTAAATTATGGCAAAAATGGCCATACCTCTCTTACAGACAGCTGTGGCGGGAACGACACCGAAAATACCAAGTTGGTGAACTCATACCCAGCAGACTCAACCTTCTGACACACCTGAAAAATGATTACATTTACATAAATCCACAGGAACTGTTGGAAATTTCACTCTTTAACCTTAAATTTTAGTCAACTAGTTGACATTACAACATTTCAAACATTTAGCTGAATGAATATATTTCCAAATTCTGTAATCTACACTAGAAAAAGACACTGGACTGAGAATCGTAAAAACTGGCTTCTAGTCCCAACTCTGTCATTCAACTGGCTGTGACCTTCTACAGGTATTTTTCCTTCTCTGGACCTTGTCTCTTTATTCACAAAAAGCAATTGTACCAGATGGACTACTGCAATAGCCTTAAGGTTGGTCTGCCTGCCACAAGTCTCTCCCTACTACAATCCATCTTCTTCTCAGCTTTCAAAGTGATCTTCCTTACTAAGTGGAAATCTGACCATGTCACCCCCCCCCACCTCAATAAACTCCAGTGAAAGCCCTTCAAAACTTGCCCCACCCCATCCACCTTTCCAGTTTTCTTACACCTTACAATTCTACCAGATATTCTTTGTTACTGTGATACTAGCCCCATGCTGCTGCTTCTTTTTTTTTTTTTGGGGGGGGGGTGTGCAAGGCAATAGGGATTAAGTCACCTGCCCAGGGTTACACATCTAGTAAGTGTCAAGTTGTCTGAGGATGGATTTGAACTCAGGTCCTCCTGACTCCAGAGCTGGTGCTCTACCCATTGCACCACCTCACCTTGCTGCGTCTTGAACAAGACATTCCATCTTCCAACAATGTCAGGAGCATGTGGAGGACCTGACCATCAACAGGGAATCCCGTATCTACTTGAATTTTGAGTTGGATCCCCCTCAATCATAGTGTACAACAGCTTTGGCAAGCATACTTTCTCCCTGATTATGCCTTGCTATTAATGATCAGAAGGTTGTCAAATAAGGTTATCTCTGTTATCAAAGAATCTTGTACCACCAAGATCATTTCATATTTTGAATCAAGGAAAATCTCTACCAAACTAAACATTTAGTAAGAACAACTAATCATTTACCTTTTTAATAAACTTCTTCTCACAGAATTCTTGAAGAATTCCCAAGCATATATTGCATGCATTTAGATATGACTTCTCAAGCATCATGTTTTCGTCCTTCACAATGGCAGTCATTTCCCCACCATTTTGACTGCAATCATCAATTTGAGCCTCACCATCTTGCAATCGAATTTTCTTGAGGGGTGGTTTGGTGGCTTCCAAAGTTAAATCATCATCTTCAGTTTTCAGGAAATTCTCTAGCTCCCTAATCAAGTCCTAAAGAAAGAAAGTTGAATAGATTTTCTTTTGGTAATACCTCTCAAGGCATTAAGTACCATATGTTAAAACATCAATGAAAAGTATTAAATACAGAATATTTAGATTAGTTTTGTTCCCATCAATTTTGGAGCAACTCCCACCATCCTATACCTTCATAAAAAGTTGCCGGTATTATTACTTAAGTTCTATAACATAAAGAGAAGGATTTTAAAGGCATATGTTAATTCTAGAATGTAGCTTTTAAGAGTTAGAGAGCCAAGTCAGCAGCAGGATAATGGGTTTTTTGGACAAACTAGTATCTATGTACATAACACACAGAAATGTACTTGTAATCTTGAGCAAGTTGTCATAATAATAATAATACGTATATACTCTCTGCCCTTCATTTCCCATAAAATGTGGGTGTAGAACAAGATGATCTGCGAGGTGCCTTCCAGCTCAAGACTTATGACCCTATGACCCTATGACAAGTAAATCAATGAATTGCAATACCTATTAATTGTCCTACTATGAAAGATAATCATATTGAAGATAGTTCATAACTTTGTTCATTAATTACAGAAATAAATACATGAAAATATTGACTAAAATATTTCCCATGCCAGGAAACACATGATATTCTACCATGCAGAATAAAATCTCACAAATTCAAATTTCATTTATGTAGATTTCACATAAATTCATCATAAGGAAGGGCCCCATCTGTGGGGAAAAAAGGGACTTAATAAGCACAACATGATAAATATGATCAACAAAACAATTTTGAGAATTTATACCAAACAATTTATTCTTATTTTACTTAAAAAGTATCTATTCACTTATAAACAATGTTAATAATGTCAACTGAGACTAAAACTCCTAAACCTAATGCAGTGATATGGTAATGTCAACTTATACTCATTCATCAAAACAGAAACTACTAAGGCAATATTTAATTATCCTAACTTAATCTAAGTATGATATGATACACATTTATTAAGCATCTACTATGTGCCAGACACTATGCTAAGCACTAGGAATATAAACGTGAAAAAGAAAGACAGACCCAAGACAGACCCTGCTCTTAAGAATCTCACAATCTAAAGGGAGAAGATAATACACAAAAGGAAGTTGTATTTCCAATACTCCAAAGGATCTACAATCTTAGATATATATATATATACACACATATACATATATATGGGTATTTCCTCCAATGATACAGAAGGCAATTCATGTATACCTTTACAACCTCAGCAACTGCGAGCAGCTCCTCATACAAATCCACCAGAAAGAATAGCTCCAATGTTCTAAAAGCCTTCTTCACACTCTCTTAAAATCCCAAAGATGCCAGTGGTGGACAAGAACTGTAGATCAGTTGTCTCTTGCTCTGCCATGTGACCAATTCATCTTTTTCAATCACACAGTCCTTTTATGACATCCTTTATAACAATTCTCATGCATAATTCCTTGTTCGTAATACATTATATACAACTCACGCCAATGATATCCCTCTCTATTATACCTGGGTAACCTCCACTTCATCTATTCAGAGACTTTAATTTTCTATGACTTACAGACACACAACAGCACCAGAAAAAAACTGTTACTAGAAATACAGGCCTTTATTTCAGAGAGAAGTTTGGCATCATTAAAAGAAATTGCCAACATATAAAAGATCCAATCCACCACCAGGTCAGCAGCAGGATAATGGTTTTATTGGTCAAACTACTTTTCAAAGGCCATCTAGTAAGTAGAGGCAGGATTTGACTTACACTAGCAAAATTACTTATCCTTAAAATATAAAAGTCTATTTATAACATGAGAGGTAGTATGGCACAAGACACAGAGAGCTGGCCTGAGAACTCAGAAGACTGAGTTCACATCCTGCCACTGAAAAATCCTCTACAAGGTGACCCTGGGAATGTCATATAACACCTCAGGGCTCTAGGCAACTCTCTACAGCTCTAAGGTATAGTGAAAATGCTGAACTGAACTGAACTGAAAGAGGCAGTTTCCTCCCCAGGGAATTCTCTATATCAATGCAATTGTGAAATGGGGGGGGGGGAGAAGGGAGGGGTAGAATGACACTGAATAGTGTAGGACTACTAGTAGTAGTAACAGTATTGCAATCAGGAAGACTTGAGTTTAAATCCTGCCTCAGAGATTAGCTGTGTGACCCTGAGCAATTCACTCAACCTCCCTCAGCCTCAGGTTTCTCATCTGTAAAATGGGGACAATAATTGCACTTACCTTTCAGGGTTGTTTTGAGGATCAAATGAGGTACCACGTAAAGTGCATTTTGTATCTTAAACCGCTAAATGAGGAAAATGTTTCGTGATAGATGCCTTTTGCAGATGCTTTTAGATGCTTTCTGCAGAATGGCTATCTCAATAATAAATGCATGCGCATAGGATTATTCTCTGCACTTTTTTATTTTATGAGAACATCTTCTTACCACTGTCAATAATCTTCTGTGTGTGCATTTTGTAAATGTCCAAAGCTTACATTTACTAAAGGATTAGGAACAAATATAAAAGCATATACATAGATATTCATGTATATACATAGACTTTTTTTTTTAATTAAAAAATATGAAAAGACCTGGTATGGAAGTTTGTAAGGTGCATGAAAATCCACACAACAGAATCTGAAGATACATCGTGGACAAGTGCCAGTACTGAACAGGAACCGGGCAATAGGCTTGTCTTTTTCAGCCAGTGGGAACATGCTGAGTAAACCTAACTTTAAAAACAAACAAAAAAACCCATAAGGATAATAAGCAATTCCACATTTCAGTTTCACAGACAACAAATGTCACCCAAAACACTTGTAACAACTCACATTTATATAATGCTTTAAAGTTTGCAAGTGCTTTAAGGCTTACAGAGTACTTACCTTCCCAACACCAAAAGATAATAGTAGAAATAGCATCCCTATTTAACAGACGGGAAAGCTGAGGCTACAAGAGATGAAAAGATATTGATTCTACAGCCAATCATGGTCAAACAGGTAGTAAGTATATGAAGGGAGATTTAAACCAGGTCTTCTAACTCCAAATCCAATATACTTTCTATTATGCCATAATTTAATGTTAAATATCCTTGATATTTCCCACATCAGTACCTTCACTCGAATTGTTCCTTAATATTTAACCATTAAAGGGGACAAAAGTTTCCTCTCTATGCTCCTGAAGTCTAAAGCCAAGGCCCCATCTGGAGGTAGCAGTCTCTCCAGGAGTCCCTTCTGCTTTCACTTGAAGAGTTCCTTGTGTTTTCATTTTTGCTTTTTAGGATTTTTTTTTTTAGTTGAGAAGTGATAGGACTAGGGAGCACCAAGAAGACAGGCAAGAGCTGGGAGAGCGGGAGAGAAAGAAAGAAAGAGAGAGAGAGAGAGAGAGAGAGAGGGAGCTCCCGACCATTTTGCAATAAAGTTAACTCAAGTATTTTGGGGAAATGCAAATTTCTTTCAGAATTCTTTTATGTAAAGTTGAATTTTTGTAATGCAAATTTATGTAAAGCAAGAACTGTTTGCATGGTTACCTAACTAGCTACTTATAAAACTTCTTATATTAGCTGGGGGTAGGGACAGACAGGGGAATCAGAACAAGATACAATTGTAACATACTTTGCTTTATGGATTAAAAAAAAATGCACTGCATCAATTGACATGGATTGGTCCTTCAAAGGATTCTTAAATTCCAGTCCTTCTAGTGTTTTAATCTCCCTGCCTCAAATCTCTCCCAATATGATCCAATCAACCAATTAAGCATTTAATAAGTGCTTACAATGTGACAAGAACTGTGAATACAAAGGAAAAATAAAAAGTCACTTCAAAAAGCTTGGGAGAGACAATACATATGAATCCAAATATCCAAGAGTGTAAATAAGGTGGATTTTAGTGTGTAAGGAGGACTTTTGTTATTGTTTTTAGATTATAGGTCCCAGGAACCATGGCCAAAATAGATAATATTTCTCATGATCATGGTTTGTAAGCACCTCCACCATGTTTGCGCAGGGAGATATAGGGATGACATAATGTATACTTGCACTGTACTAGGTCATGATGATATTGCTAAAGTTAACCTGTGAGCTTAATGTTGGCAAGATGCCTTCTTTGTCTGTTGCCCTATAATGCAAGTAGGCACTGGTCAGTAAGTGGGGAACCCATTTTGGGATCTGGGTAACGCATAGAGGAATGCAACCATCTGCCTTGATCGGCCCGTCACGGCTTGGATGGAATCTGTATCTGCCTCAACTAGCCCCCGCTGAAGCGTGGAGGTTGTACTCCTATTCTCGCCTGCCCCTGCTAGAAGAGTGATTAGGGAATGCTGTAGGAGTTGGTGCTCCCATTATCAGCAAGCCTTTTGAGAAGACCAGACTAGAATGAAGTAAGCTTATTTAACCCTTCTGAAGCCGGCTTCCTGCCTGACAGGATCAAAAAGTGAACCTGTGCTAGAACAAGTGTTAGTGTTGGGAGTCCTCCTGCGTTCTCCTGCCCAACAAATGGCGTTACCTGTGTGATTACCTGTGAAACAAAGATAAATACGGAATACATGGAAGGTAACTCTAGAGGGGATGGCACCAGCATCTGGGGTGGGGGGGGAGGGAGACCAGGAAAGGCTGCCGAGAGAAAGAGGCTCTTGAGCAGTGTTCAAAGCCAAGGATTCTAAGATTTGGAAGTAAGAAAAGAAAACGTTCCAGGCCTAGGGAGCAGCAAGTGCAAAGGCACAGAGATCATATCATGTGAGGCAAACAGCAAGTGGGTCACCACGGCTGGATCACAGAGTACAGAAAGGTTAAAAGGGGGCCAAGTGGTGAGGACATGTAAATGCCACAGAACCAATTCTGATCATTTTAAAGTCTTCCTTACTCATTAAAACTCCAGAAGCTCCCCACTGCCTCTAAAATAGAAGACAAACTCCTCTGTCTGACATTTAAAGTTCTTCAAAACCTTTGTCCACTGCAGTCTTTCCAGTCTCCTTGTACACACATACTATGGTTGAATGCACTGACTTCATACATGTGTACAATGCTCTATCTCCCATTTGGATGTTTTTGCTCTGACTGCTCCCAAAGGATGCAATGTTCTCCTTCTTCACTTGTACCTCTTAGAATTCCCAGTTCAAAGTACTCCTTCTGCAGGAGGCCTTTCCTGGTTCCCCAATTAGTAGTGTTTTCTCTCTAAGGGTGTCTTGCATTTACTTTGTATGTAATCTTGTATAGACCTGGGGTTAAGTGACTTGCCCAGGGTATACAGCTAGTAAGTGCCAAGTGTTTGGTCTGAGGCCGCATTTGAACTCAGGTCCTCCTGACTTGAGGGGTGGTGTTCTATTCACTGTACCACTTAGCTGCCCCTGTCACCCCCACTATATTGTAAGATCCAAGTAGACCATCTTACTTCATCTTATTTTTGTATCTCCAAGATCTGAACAGTTCACTTCTCATAGTATATTTAATGAATTGTGCTCAACCAATCATGATACATTTATTAAACACCTACCATGTGCCAGGTTCTGTGCTAGGCACTGGGGATACAAAGACAAAAAATTAAACAATCATTGCTTTCAAGAAAATTACATTTTATAGGGTTTGACAACATGTACATACACATTTGTATAAAATATGTACTTATATATACACAAGTGCTGTATATAAAAATACAAAATACAAGTTATTTAATTACAATGTGGGAAATAGAAGTAGTTGGAGGAATCAAAAAAATATTTCTTTAGAAAGTGGTTCACTACTTTAGTCTTGAAGATAGCAAGGGATTCTCCGAGGCACAGATGAAAAGTGAGTCAATTCCAAGCATAGAGGATGACCAGTTCAAAGGCACAAAGATGGGAGATAGATCATATGAGGAACAGTTTAACTGGACCACAGAAAATGGGACAGGGAGTAATGGTAATATGTGTTGAATAAATTAATAAAAATGAATTAAACAGAATCAAATTTACAAATATACACAGGAATTTATTAGATATATCAATTTAATAGTCATTAGCTATGACAGAAAATTTGGTCTGGTATTTTAGAAAAGGATTTTAAGAAAAGTGTATCTATCATAACTCAGTTTCTACAATATTGCAAAACTGATTCAACTCCAATAACAATCAAATTACTTCTGTGTTTCTACTTAGATCTCTGATCCAGACTCAGAAAAGAAATCCAGACTGGGGTTTCTGACAGCTTTTATAGAGAAAAATTACATCAGAAAGACAATAAATAATATTTGACATATAGCAATCTTACATGCTCTTAGCAGACCTAGCCAAACACACTTAGTTACATATTAAAAGTTCTTTCCAAGATTCAGAGTTTACAACTGGCTAATTAAAAAGGGCAGATTTATATGTCACAAAGGTAACCAAACGATTGGAGCCAGGAAGATTCTTCCACAATTAAAGCAAGTTAAAGGAAGTTCAAACCCCCTTTTGACTTCTTGTCTCAGGAATTTAACAGGTTTCAGCCAGCTCAATAGCTTCCTAACCAGGAGAAACAGTCCTGAACCCCAAATAAAAATTAACAGGAAATCAAAATCTCTCATAACAGTTAAAATTTTCTGATAACACTGATCTCTTCAAATGGGCATTCCTTCCATCAGGACAAATCAACCCATCTATACCTTCTCATACTATAAAACTCTTGTCCATGCTCTTTAATAGATAATCCACAGAGATTCCAACCAAGATGCCAAAGGCCTTCCTCTAGGTCTTCTCAGTTTCCTAGATACCAATGAAACATGAGGGCTATGAATCTATTACTTTCCCTCACTCTTGTCACATGACCCAGTCATCTTCTTTCCTAAACATAACAGGATGATAGCATTATGCTACTTCTGACATACAGTTCATCACCAGAAAGCTATATCTCACTTGCCATACACATCTACACTGGTTTGTGGATTAGCTAGTAAAATTCTTCGAATTTCAACCACTGCCAATAGATAGGTCTTTTTGTCAGGGAGCAGCAGGCATGTGAACCAACCCACTTTCTTTCCTCTATTTAATTCTTGCCCCAATTCACTCACCATCTATGTTAACTGTCACAAACATTTATACTAATGCACTAACTCAATGGAACGCCCATTCAACTCTATGTCATAGTTTAGACAACAGGCTTTATATCATTTAGTTTTTTCCTATATGGACTGTTACTCTGATCACTTTTTAATAATTATGGTTCTCATTTGAGGAGACTTATAGTGTTCTACAACTTGAGGTAATCAGCACTCTACCACCCACAAACAGCATATAGAGGATCTTTCTATGTAATGGAAATCTCTTTTCCATCTAGACCTCTAACAATGAAACGTCAAACTGGTTCACAAAAGGTAATCAAGTAAAAAAAACATCGCTTGTCTTAACTATTCCTGCAATTTATTAAAGAATGTTTCCAATACCACCCAAGTGGAAAAATCTACTCTTCTGTTTTACCTAAGTATAAAATTTACTACAATAACAAACCTGTTCTCAAGTCCTGCTCCTGATACAGTGGGGTCATATGATGCTGGGCAAGTCATTTAGCCCCTTGGTGATCTACTAAACTAGACTATAAACCGCAGACAATGTGCCAACCTTCAATTAGTGGAAGTTTTTTCATTTGGGAGTTCACTAGCAATGAAATCAAAGGCCCTCTAAATCCCTATCCCAAATAATCTGAATATAAAACACCCAGTTGCAGCTTAGTGATCCATAACATAGGACTAAAATTTGAAAAGCTAGAAGAAAATTAGGAAA